AACCAATACTTAGTGATGTTATGAGATTAGCCGAGGCTTTGAGGCGTGTGTCGAGTACGCCCCCAGTCGAGGCATGATTCATTTAGAGGAGGGGCCAAAATTGATGAAGTCTTAGGCCTCGCTACAGTGATATCACTTGACCACTTCGGGAAGTGGTTCGGGAAGCGCAAGAATTTTGACAGGCATTTAAACAGCCTTAGGATTCAGTCAAGATGTTGGAGTTTGTAGGAGTTGCTGTCAGCTGGATAGAGTTTGGATAGATTCTAAGAATAGATTGGTTGTTTTTCCAACCAATCTAGTTGCTTAAAACAATTTTTGTTAGAACAAACAATGTAATGATCAAAATCTGAGAAAACCACCGCACACAGTGTTAACACGTTAGTGTTAACTAGTATTTTCTCAATTAAACAGACAAACTATACTTTCCCACAGCCTTTGCTAACAAATAGATGAATATATTCAAACATCCGCGCTTTCTAGATAAAAGATATAGTGGATAAAATTCTTTTTGGTTTGAGTTTTGGACGAACATCTTTTCCATTGTCATTACCTACCTACTTTTATCAGTAATCATTCTGCATAAAATTGATATTTACAAATACTAATATCTACATAAATTGATTATTTATTAACGTTTTTATTAAAATAGTTATGTATCTATGATTTCACTGAAGACTCCTAGATGACTTACAGAGACACATTATTTTCCCTTTACCTCATAAAACACAAAAACTATTTCTGCTTAAATTCTGTACATATCATCTTTGACGTTAGTTTATTCAGAATGCGGGGGGGTCCGGGGGGGCTCGACCCCCCCGATTAACCCATGAGCCCCCCTGAAAGCCTCAAAAGCAAAATTTAAGGGGGGTTTTAAATTGTGTCAAAAAAAAATGTAATAAAATGTTCTGGTTCCTTAGGAAGCCATTGCTCATATTTGCGTATTGTTTCTAAGTTATATACTATAAGCTTTCTTATGTATAATATTTGATATAGTCTTATTTTGAAAGCACCGGAAGTTGAGCAGTTGGTGTCTTCCTGTTTAATGAGGTTTTTTTTTTTTCATACAACTTTATTTATTTCTGCAAAGAACAATACAGAGCAACCATATTGCACTATAGGAATTCACAACCATTATTTACAGACATTTTCAACAAATTTAAGTTCACATTTTTACCAGTCAAGTAAATGACCTCGTTTTGTGCAAAACAAGAAACAATAAGGAAAAAAGACAAGAAAAAATAAAAATAAACTAAGATCTTACATTTATTAAACAAAAGTTAACGCTA